CAGAAGAACTTCATCCCCTCGCGCTGGACGGTTTCCCGCGACACAGTGGTCTATGCGGCTGCCGCTCTTCAGTCAGCCATTGCGGAGATGCTGGCGAAGGAGGGGGAGCTGGGGTGCAGGGTGTCGTTCACCATCGACATGTGGACGTCGCCCAACAACAGGGCGTGGCTAGTGGTAACGGGTCACTGGATCGACGAGAATCACCAGCTGCGCACAATGGTGTTTGAATTCCGCGAGATTCACGGGCAAGCAGATGGCGAGGGTGGTTGAGGAGACGGTGGTGCAGTGGGGGTTGGAGACGCGTTGTCTTGGGTTCACCTCAGACAACGCCTCCAGCAACACTGCCGCTTTCAGGTGGATGTCGGAGGAGGGTGGTGGCCAGTGCTTCTTCAACTCGCGCATGCACTTCCGGTACGAAAGGGAGTGTGCGTGGGATGTGCGATGAGGGAGTCTGGGTGCGTCGTTCCTGTGAACATGTTGTGGTTGTAGTACGGGAGGGTGGGCCTATGCGGCTTGAGAGTGGTAGTGTTCTCGGGTCTATGCCAATGTGTACTCACACTTCCCTTTCTCTTCGCCATTAATGTTTTGTGATGTGCGCAGATGCCTGGCACACGTGATCAACCTTGCAGTGAAAGCAGCACTCGCTGTGACCGCCATCCGCAAGTTGCTGAAGATTCTGAGAGAGATGGCGTCGTGGATAGGCTTCTCGCCGCAGCGCTCAGGGAAGTTCTTGGGCCTTCAGCGGACCCTGAACGCGCAGGGCAACCCCGCCAAACCGAAGCCGGCATTGAAGCTGGTGCAGGACAGTCCCACACGCTGGGGGTCGACCCACGACATGGTCGAGCGAGCGGGGTTCTGCAGGAACCCATCTCTGTCTTCTTTGCCCAGACACAGGTGTGTGTGTGTGCCAGGTGTTGTGTATGCGGTTTTATGTGTTGGTATGTCGGTCGGGGTGTTTTGTTCTGGGACTTGCACCACTGTTGGCCATGCTTGACTAAACTTATCGGACCTCCAACAACCTCAACCACCCCACTTTCTACCCTAACACCCGCCCACCCATACGTTCTACCCGACAGGGCGGCGTGTCGAAGGCTGACAAGGCGAAGATGGACACCTTGCGCCTGACGGACGCAGACTGGGAGACTCTGCATTCTATCAAGACCTTCCTCAGCCCATTCGCCAAAGTCTCAAAGGCCGCGAGCGGCGTACCCTACAGTGGCGATGGTCCTGCCGTACTACAACGGCCTGATCGATGCTATGGAGTCGCGCCTTGCCAAGGGGCCATCGGCTACGCTGAAGCCGATGATTGAGGCGGCGCTGGGTCTCTTGAAGAAGTATGAACTGATGTCAAGCAACGAGTTGTGGATCGCGACCTTCCTGGACCCTTCCATGAAGGCGGCGTGGTTCGACGACGCGCACTGGGAGACGCTGCATCCCGATACCGACCGGAGGGCGAGGCCTCGTCCCTCGTCAGGCGAGGTGATCCAGCTGGTTCGCGCGCGCGCGTGGCCGAGTACCAGGCCCGGGCTACAGCGATTGCCCTCGGCCGACCCCACTTGCCCCAATGACGGAGGAGGAGGAGGGGTGGGATGGTGCAGGATGACGAGGTTGGCAGGTACTTATCTGAGAGGGTGCGGTGCGACGTGTCAAGCGTTGGAGATTGGTGCAGCGCCACCAACATGCAGACGCTGAGGCGCATGGCCCGGGATTATTCTTGCCATCCCTGCCACGTCGCGGTCGAAGCGAGCGCGTGTTCTCCCTCGGCCGCAACCTCATTTCCTGGAAGCGGCACCGCCTAGCCTCTCAGAGGACGCGAGCTTCCATGATTCTCAGATCATGGTACACCTCCACCCTGGACAGAGGATAGGCGAGGGCCGCCGTGCAAAAGGCGAGGCACCACCAGAGTTCGCCATTGAAGGCGAGGGGGAGGAGGAGGACGACGAGTGGGAGGAAGAGGAGGGGGAGGAGGAGCAGGATAGGAGGGGTGGGTGCTGGCGACACCTCTGACGCGGAGCATGCTGTTGTTGGTAGTAGCCAGTGGTGGTGCAGGCGTAGGATTTAATTTGACAGTGGACTTTTATATAGCAAAACATGATGGTGTCGTATGCTAGTGTGCGTTGCATGAACACATATACACCCTCCACCCCCCCTATCTATCTTCCCAACCCTCCAGATTCCCTGTTTGACCAATGTGACTTAAAACGAAATTGCCCACGGGCGAACTCGAACATGTTCGGTCTTCGAACATGTTCGAGTTCGCCCACATATACCAAATGTTCGCCCCCATGGGCGAACGGCGAACACCTCCTGCTTGCCAAATTGTTCGCCGAACCGAACCTTGTTCGGTTCGGGAAAATGGTGATGTTCGAGCGAACTCGAACCCGAACGTGTTCGAGTTCGCCCTTTGCTCATCCCTAAGTCAGACTGTTTCGTGTCTCGCAGTGCAGCTGGGCGCACCTGAGTGTCAACACCAGTGTAGCTGGGCGATGACGGCTGGTACATGCCAATCTGCACCACCACAAAATCCCCCTCCTCCTCCTCCTCCTCGCCTCCCCCCCCCTTCCTCCTCCTCGCCCTCCCCCTGCCTCGCACGTCGCTTGCTCGCCTCTGCGTGCTGCCACCCCATGTCGGGCAGCAACCGCCCCGCGCGGCCAAAGCTGGGCACATTGGCCGCGTCGCCGTCATCCAGAGCGAAGTCACGCGCGTCAAAGAACTCTGCTGCACCGTTGTACCCCCCGCCTCCATCGCCCTCAAGCGTTGCTGCGCCGTGGCGTGGCGTGGACGCCCCTGACGACGTGGGCGACAGCAGGAACTCCGCCTCTGCGTCTGCAAAGCCATCCTCATCCTCATCCTCCTCGTCCTCATCTTCCTCCTTGCCCTGCTTGCTCTCCTCGCTCTCCTTGCCTTCCGTGCCCTCCTCTTTCATTCCCTCATCCCCTGTCTCAGCAGCACCCTCCAGTGTCTCCCGTGTGCTCATGTCTGGCGCCACCTGCTCAGCCCCAGGCGCCACATCTGCACCCGCGTGCCTGCCACTCCCTCCACCACCACTCTCACCACCGCCGCTCCCGCCACTGACAGGCACCCCCTCCCCCCCATCCTGCCCCTTCTGCTGCTCCTCCCCGCCCGCGTGTCCCCCTCCTTTGCGCGGAGCAGCAGCAGCAGCAGCAGTGGGAGCGGCATGGGGGGCGAGCAGGGAGCGTGCCATGAGGCGGCAGGTGGGGGCGAGGGCCCCAGCGCCCTGGAAGAAGTCCTCCACCTCCACCTCGCGCACACCCACCCCCACCGCCACGTCCGCTGAACGCTGCTGCACCTCCACCTTCCCCCCCGCCGCCCGGATCTCGATTATCCTCTCCTCCTCGTCCCACGACGCCGCCCCTCGCCGCTGGGGGGGTTGGGTGGGTGACGCAGGGAGGCGGGCAGTGAGAGGAGGAAGACAGTGAGAAGTGCAGTGGGTGGAGCAGTGAGGACCGGAAGAGCACACACTTACAAGCACATCATACTTAATGACTTACAGCTGTGCCTCAACCCCGCCCACACAATGCAGCGCCTCATGCAACGCAAGCCGTCATGACGGGAGGGGCGAGGACTCACAACGGAGCTGATGGCGAGGCGCAGGTCGTCCAGCGCGCCCATGATGTAGAGGAACGGCTTCTCCTGCGCGCCCCCTGATCCCGCCCCCATACCCTCCCCCTCCACCACCACCGGTGCCGCACGCACAGACGGGGACAAAGGTTCTCTAGGGGCCAGATGTCGCTCAGGTGAGGCGGGCGGCATCTGACCAGGTGCTTCTTCAGGTGCTTCGGTGGAGAAGGCATCGTTGGTGAGGAGGTCCATGGAGGCAGGCGCCTGTGGGGCACACACACAGGGACGAGCACGCAGCCGGACAGAGGAGCGTGAGCGACCAGCAGTGGTAGCCAAACGACTCGTCCACCTTCGCTGCTTAACACTCTTATTTCCTACTGGATGCTCTGGCTCAAGGCAAGCAATGGCAGAGGGGGGTGCAGTGCGAAACTCACAGAGGCATGGTAGAGTGCGGTTGTGAGGCGTGCAGCCCAATGCGCCTTGAGGGCCTCCGACTTGAGCCGCAGCACCACCGCCTGCCCTGACAGCACCACCTGCTCCCAGCACAGGACAGCCAGCACTTCCAAACCAATGTTATGTGCCTAACCACAAAGCAGGGAAGCCACGCAGGGAAGAAGCAGCGCAAATGTGTGGGCATGTGAGGCGCCGTGCGGCACAGAGATGAGGTGGTGGCGTGCAGCAGCATGGGAGGCGACGCACCTTGGCAGGTTGAGCGCCCCGGGCAGCGAGGGCAATGACGTGGTGGTAGCCCGCTATGTGCTGCGGAGGCACGTCCAGCACCCCCATGGCGCTGCTCAGACTGCCATGTGCGCGAGGGGGTGTGAGGGGCATGGGAGCATGGCATGGTCAGGCGCATGCATGCGAGCGGGATGTATGTGCACGTCGCACAATCAGCATCAATCACTTCAGCTTGCAGCAGAAAGCGGTGGGTGGAGTGCACGCCGTACGGGGGAGATTGTGGGGTGACGCATGAGGGGGGGCGGGCGTACTTGATTTGCTTGTGTGGCTTGGTGGCCTCGGGGTGGTCCAGCAGATACAGTGTGGGCCCCACCAGTGCCGCCCAGTACGGCACCCACTCCGCTGCACTGCCTATGCGCTGCCATGCTCCATGAGACGGGCATGAGAAGGGCACGGGAGAAGGACCGAACAAGAGCATTGGAGACGGGGAGGCAACGAGGTGAGAGTATGGGACAGGAAAAGAACGGTTGATGTGATGTGACTTCACATAGAAATGGCTGCGGCACACAGAGACCCCCTTCCATCTCTCACCGTCCACTGCAGCAGGCACACATCCCATCTCTCACCGTCCACTGCAGCAGGCACACATCCCATCTCTCACCGTCCACTGCAGCAGGCACACATCCCATCTCTCACCGTCCACTGCAGCAGGCACACATCGCCCGCCTGGTCCGCCTGCTGCCATGGTCGCACCGCCACCGCCCCATCACCCTCGCCCGCCACCCCGCCCTCTGCAGCGTCGGCTTCAGCAGCAGGAGGCGGCGCGGGGGGAGAGCGCACGGAGGGCGCGCATGAGGCCGGCGGTAGCGGGCGGGCGAGTAGTGGAAGGCGAGGCACGGCAGCCACACGGCAATGCGCGTGGTGGGGTAGCTGGGGTGCTCTACCATCATCTGCACGGCCGGGAGGGGCATGGAGCATACGCACTTGCACTCATGCTCGTTTCCAGGGCGTGCTTAAGATGCAACACAAGCATGTTGTTGGTAGTATGCGAGCAGACGAGAGGAGCCCACCTGGTGCAGCACGGCAGAGAGGCCACACTTCTGCAGCAAGTCCAGACGCAGCCCCCCTGATCCGCCCTCCCCTGCACCCGCCTCCCCATCCGTGCCACCGTGCTGCTGCTGCTGGTATCGCCGCCAGTCAAAGGCCCCATCGGCGACGGACATGGAGATGTCGGTGGCCGTGATCTTGAACCGCGTGTACAGCGCTGCCGCCGCCATGGCCTCACTGCCCTCCAACGATGGGTCGTCCTGTACAAGGGTGTGGACCAGCGGCAACGGTGAGATGGCAAAGTAAGCATGAGCAAACGCCAGCCACTGGCCAGGTCCTCACCAGTCGAAGCGCTCCTTGTGGGCGTCAAGGCAAGATGGTGGGAGTCGGGTTGACTGTTCTAGGGGGCGGCACGAGGCCGTAGAGAGGGCACCTGGTCGGTCTTGAGGGTGAAGTGGCCGAAGTCGAGCAGCAGCTGCGTGGGCGGCTCCCCGTGGGGCGAGGGGTCAGCGGGGATGGCCACCTTGGGGGCGTCCACGTCCAGGTCTATGGAGAACCTGGAGGGGGGGGGAGGGAGAGGGGGGAGGGATGGATGTGCATGTTAGAAGAGAGAGAATTGATACATTGAATAATGAGCCAAGAGGCTCTTTAGTACAAACAATGAGCAAGAGAGAGATGAGAGGGAAGCTTACCCTATTGGCCAATACGTTGGCCAATGGGTGAGCTTGCTTGTGACCCAAGCAACCACAAATGTGTGTTGGTTGGGATTGGTTGAGCTAAGGACCAATCCTAACCAACCACAAAATGTGGTTGGAGGGTACACTAAGCAACCCCCCAATTTATAAATGTGCTACACTTCTAGCCTATGTATGTTGTATGAAATATGAAATTACAACACAACCCCCCAACATGCATAAGGCTAGAAGGCTAAAATCAAGAGGCGGGAGGCGACTTAGGAGGAGTGAGGCCAAGAAGACGAAGTAGGAAAGAGTGAGCGGCATGAGGAAGAGCTTTCGTGAAGATGTCGGCAAGGTTGGCCGCCGAGTCAAACTTGTCGAGGCGAAGGTGCCCCGCCTGAACAAGATCGCGAATGAAGAAATGACGGAGCTCAATGTGCTTGGAGCGCCCGTGAAACACAGCATCTTTGGTGAGGTGAATGGTACTAGCATTGTCACACCAAATTGTGGGACAGCGCTGGGGGGCACCAAGTTCCTCAAGAAGGAAGGTGAGCCAGCGGGCCTCTTGCGCAGCCATGGTGGCGGCATACAATTCCGCCTCGCAGGAGGAGAGGGCTGCAGCCGAGGAGCGGGTGGAGCGCCAGCTGATAAGGCCGCTGCCAAGAGAGAAGCCATAGCCCTGGGAGGAGCGACGATCTGGCCGGGAATCAGCCCAGGAGGAGTCACTGTAGCCGCTGAGAAGAGGTGGGGAGGGGCCGCCAAGGGTAAGGACATAGTCCTTGGTGCCACGAAGGTACCGGAGGACACGCTTGGCGGCCTGCCAGTGCTCTTCCGTATGCTTGCCTGCGCCAACAAAACGAGCGAGGACGCTGATGGGGTAGGCAAGGTCAGGGCGAGTGGAGACCATGGCGTACATGAGGGAGCCGATGAGCTCGGGATAAGGATGGGAGGAGGCTGAGGGGGAGGTGGGTGGAGAGAGGTGGTGCCCGACAGAAAGAGGTGTATGTTGGGCGCCGCCGCGGGCCATGTCAAACCGCTCCAAGACCTGCTGCAAGTAATGACCCTGGGAGAGTGAGATGGTGCGGGCGGAGCGGTCACGAGTGATGGTCATGCCCAGATAATGCTGCAGCTCTCCCAAGTCTTTGCACTTGAGACGGGTGCCCAACTCAGCCTTAACATGCTCCAACTCTCCAAGGTCGGCAGTGAGCAGAATCATGTCATCGACATACACAAGGATGTAAAATGGGGAGGGGGAGGTGCGGAGGAAGAGGCTGGCGTCAGAGCGGGAGGTGCGAAACCCAAGTTCAGCAAGGGTGGCGGCAAGTTTAGCATGCCACTCCCTCGGGGCCTGTCGGAGCCCATACACCGGTCGACGCAGCTGCCAGGCAGAGTCTGCTGGGAAGGGGAGGTGAAAGCCGGCTGGACGCTCCATGTAGATAAGCTCGCGGAGGACTCCTTGTAGGAAGGCGTTTGAAACGTCCATCGAGTGGATCTCCATATGAGGCGAGCGGCGAGGTCGAGCACGGCGCGAACAGTAGCAGGCTTGGCAAGTAGGGGAGAAGGTATCGAAGAAATCAAAACCATACCGCTGCGTGAACCCCTTGGCGCAGTAACGAGCCTTATAAACGGGCGGCTCCCCTGGCAGCTGCTTGACGCGAAACACCCACTTTCCTTTCCCCACGTTCGTAGGGGCGGGAGGGCGAGGCACATCGACAAAAGAGGAGTTGCCGATAAAGGCCTCCAGCTCCTTGATGATGGCGGCGAGCCATAGCGGAGCGTCAGGGCACGCCATTGCCTCCTCGTACGTGGTAGGAACGAAAATGGAGGGAGCAGAGGTGAAGGCGAAGACAGGTGTGCCAGAGAGGTCGAACGTGATGGGTAGAAGCGAGGGGTCATAAAGGTGGAGGTCAAGGAACTCTTCATGGGAGTCCTCAGAGAGGGAGGTGTGGAAGGCGCGGATGACTGCTGGTGCCGCTGCTGGTGCTGCTGGTGGAGGCGTTGCCGGTGCCGGTGCTGGTACTGCTGCTGGTGCCGCTGCTGGTGCCGCTGCTGGTGCCGCTGCTGGTGCCGTTGCTGGTGCCGCTGCTGGTACTGTTGCTGGTACTGTTGCTGGTGCTGCTGCTGGTGCCGCTGCTGGTCCCGCTGCTGCTGCCGATGCCGCTCCCGCTGCTGCTGCCGCTGCTGGTCCTGCTGTTGCTGCGGCTGCTGGCGCTGCTGCTGCTGCCGCTGCTGGTCCCACTGCTGGTGCCGCTGCTGGAGAGGAGGTGGTTGAGGGGGCTGTTGCATGAGGGGCTTGATGCAAGACAGCCTGGAAGAAGTGACGGAGGAGGGGGGAGAGAGGGGGGAGGGTAGAGGTAGAGAGGGTAACGGGAGGCGGTGCACCAAGGATACCGTCACGTGACGTGGTGTGGGGATACTGGGTGAGTATGGTGCGGGAAGGGGGAGGACGGGTTGGTGGCGAGGGAGAGGAAGGGGGGGGGGGAGGGGTACTAGGAGAGGAGTGAGCGGGGGAGACAGGAGAAGACAGAGGTTCCGGGTCAAAGATGTCACCAGAAGAGGGAGGGGCACCATGGGACTGGGACGGCGGAGAAGGGGGGGGTGGGAGGATGGGGGGAGGAGGGAGTAGTGGGGGAGGGGTGGTGTCAGACCAGACAAGGGGACGGGTGAGAGGGGGGAGTGGGTCAGTAGATGTGGGAGAGGAGTAGTAGGGAGTGGACTCGTCAAAGACCACATCCCGGCTGCGGATTAGACGACTGGATGGTGGGTGGAGGAAAAGGTAGTCAGGGGAGGAGGGATTATGACCAAGGAAGATGCAGGGAAGGGTACGAGGGGCAAGCTTTCCCATGGAACGAGAACGGTCAGAGGGGTGAATGAGGACATGTGCCTTAGAGCCCCAGACACGAAGTGATGAGGCATCAGGCTTGTCTAGGCATGATCATCCTGCCCCGGCGGGTCGGGTCGACCCGACCCGACCCGGGTTTTGACCCGGGTCGGGTCAGGCATTTTGAAGCGCTGACCCGGCCGGGTCGGGTCGGGTTTACCCGGTCGGGTCGGGTTTACCCGGTCGGGTCGGGTCGACCCGACACCCGAAACCGGGTCGGGTCGGGTCAGATTTAGACCCGAAGTCGTACCCGACCCGGTTTCGGGTACCGCGCCCTAAGTCGGGTCGAGTATTTGGCCCAACCCGACTTTTTCCTCCCTCGACAAGTTGCACTAAAGCAGATCGCGAAGTCAATGTCTAGGGTTTGTTTGTTCCCTCGACATTGACATTCCCTCGACAAGTTGCACTAAAGCAGATCGCGAAGTCAATGTCTAAACCCTAGACCGGAGTTGCTGTAGTAATCCATTACCTAACTGCTGCTGTAGTAGGTCATCGTCAAAGTGAAGAGGAAGAAATCGAACGCAAAGATTATTGAAGGGAAAAGCGGCCTGACATTGAGTGAGTCTGGTAGAAGTTGGCAACAAATTGGATGGGGTGAAGGTGGGTTGTGAGCGGTGGATAAGAGGGAATGATCCACCAACAATCTCGAAATTCAGATCTGAAGTTGCTTTAGCAACGCGCGAACTCATATCTGAATTTCTAGACTCAAATTTGAGTTTGCCAGATCGCGAACTCATCTGATTTTTTTTTTCCGGTCAGCCCGAGCCAAATTTGGCGAATTTTAGAAAAATCCACAGCGTACGAATTCTAGATGTGTATAAACTCAATACGCAACTTGAAACTAGCGTTTTTTCCAACTTAGGAACCTCTTACCCTGCATATGGGGTCCTGGCCCGACCCGACCCGACCCGGCCCCTACCCGACCCGACCCGGGGGCGGGTCACGCCTGACCCGGCACCCGATACCCGGGTTGGGCCAGGATTTTTTGAAGTTCCGACCCGACCCGACCCGACCCGGAACCCGGCTGGCCCGCCCAAGTCGGGTCGGGTCGGGTCGGGTCGGGCCTAATGATCATGCCTAGGCTTGTCCTTCGTCCCCAGCTCAGTGGGGGTGATGGAGGGGAGAAGGGGGTGAGGGTAAAGGTTAGTAAGGAGGGCGGCATGAAGGAGGGCGTAGCCCCAAAGAGAAGGGGGGCAGGAGGCGTGGACAAGCAGACACCGGGCTGTTTTGGTGATCTCTCGAACACGACTCTCAGCCACGCCGTTCTGCTGTGGGGAGTGAGGGAGGGTGTAAGTCTGAAGGATGCCACGAGACTGACAATAGGAGGAGACTTGGTTGTTAAGGAACTCACCACCTCCATCAGAGTGAAGGCGGCGAACAGGGCGCCCAAAATGGGTGTTTGCCCGCTCGAGCCAGGCAATAATCGCAGCCGGGGCATCCGCCTTCGTCCGAAGGAGAGAGACGGACGAGTACCGACTGTGATCATCAACAAGCACGAGAAGGTAGCGATGGCCCTGGCGAGTGGGAGAGGGATTAGGGCCCCATAGGTCCATGTGAACAAGATCAAGTGGCTGCGTAGCAGCGGAGGGGGAGCTCCGGTGCGGCTGCTGCTTGAGCTTGCTCTGAACGCAGACGGTGCAGGGGGGGGCAGGGGATTTGGGGAGGGGAGGGAGGGAGGAGGGGAGACCGTGGAGGAGACCGGAGGAGACAGAGGAGCGCAGAGTAGCGAAGTTGGGGTGGCCTAGCCTGTGATGGAGGAGGATGGTGGGGTGGGAGAGGGAGCGACAGGAACAGTCAGAGTCAGGAGGGCGGGGGGGGAGGGGTGGGTTAGTGGGAGGGAGGGGAGGGGGGGGGGGGGAAGGAGGGGGGGGGAGGCAACTTGGAAGGTGAGGGGGCGGGGAACCCGAAGGGTGTACAGACGGGAGTGGGGACAATAGGGAATACGGGCGAGAAAACGACCTGTGGAGGTTTGGTATAGGTCACAATGGTTAGCACCACCTGGGATGAGAGTGGTGATCATGGCTTGTTGGAGGGACCTTTGGGAGAGGAGGTTAGTACGAAGGGAGGGAATGTGGAGACTGGTGACAGTACCTGAGGGAAAGAGAGGACAGGGAAGGGTGGAGGTGTTGTGACAAGGGATGGAAAAACTGCTATCAGCGCCGAGGAGGGAGGTTGGTGTGGGGAGAGGGCGCAGTGTACCAGCGTCGCGAAGGACAGTGTCAGTGGCTCCACTGTCCAGAACGAAGTCAATGGTGGAGGAAGGTGAGGCAGAGTACTGGAACGAAGTTTCATTAGCAGAAGAAGGGTACATGGGAGATGCAACAGATTCAGGTTGACCTAATAAACCAACAAAACCAGAGGAAGGGAAAGCGGTCACACTGCCACCTGCAGACGGCGCCGGGGACGCACCCGAGAGATGGGCTGCAGAGGCAGCACTCCCAGCAGTCCAGGTAGGAAAGGGCTGCTGCTGGGAAACCGGAGGAGGAGGGAGGAGGGGCAGTTGCGGTTGGAGGTCGAGCTGCTGCTGGAGATGCTGGAGCTGCTGCTGGAGCTGAGAGAGGAGAAGCTGCTGCCCATACTGCTGTGACCCCTGCTGCTGATTCCCAAGCTGCTGCTGCTGCTGCTGTTGCTGCTGCTGGTGCTGCTGCTGGGGAGGGGCGAGGGCCTGGTGGGCGTGGGTGGAGGAGGGAGGTTCATAAAGGGGAGAGGAACGGACCTCAAGGGGAGTGGGGCGAGGGTTGAGGGCGGACCAGCGAGGAGGGGTGCCGATGTTGCCACGGGCAAACCACTCATCACTGAGTGCCTTGAAGCACGTCTCAGTGGCGTGGGTGGTTTGGCCGCAGCGCTGTCCCTGAGTGGGACCGTAGCGAGGCAGGTACTGACAGGGAGGAAAGGCAGCTGCCGTACCACGACCCGCACCACTGCTGCCAGCACCACCGCGACCTGCTGATCCCCCTCGTCCACCCCCACGCCCACCACCACGCCCACCCCCACGCCCACCGCCACGTCCACCCCGGCTGCTGCGCGACTGGGCTGCTGCGGTTGTGGAGGAAGAGTGGCGAAGGATCTCAGCTTCGGTGGTGATAATCCACTGAGCGACTTTGGCAGGGGTGTGGTGCTTGGAGATAAGCTGCATGTAAGCAAGCTTGTGAGCGTCGAAGGCAGGTGTGAGGCCCTCGAGGAGGTGGCAGCAGATGACGGTGTCCGGGTACACCACATCGAGTGTTGCAAGGCGCCGAGCAAGGTCTGAGATACGGCGAGTGAAAGCAGCTGCGCCAAAAGTGGAATCCATGGAGAGAGTTCCAAACTCCTTGATAAGGGCGTAAAGAGTGGCAACGTCCTGCCGATCGAAAAGGTCGACTAGCAGTCGCCACAGGTGGGAGGAGGAGGTAGGTGAGAGCTCGCGTTTGAGGGAGGAGGGGATGGTGGCAAGAAGAATGGCAAGCGCACGCCGATCAGCAACCCGTCAGGCATTAATTTTCGTGGTGTAGTCTGCAAGTTCTGCAGTGTAGGTGTCCAGGTCCTCCTGGTACGTGTTGTAGCGGGCAGCGGCCTCGTCATAGATGCGCCTGTCGTCCTCGTAACGCAATTGCAGGCGCAGGTGCTCTTGGAGATTGGTGCGGTAGGTGCGAATGGCGGTTTCCGAGCTCTGCGGGTCGTTGACATTCGGCGCGAAGGTGGGAGGATCACCGGGGGGAGAGGGCTCGGCGCCAGGGTGGGCGGGGGCAGGTCCAGTAGGAGCGGTGGGGGCCACGGGCTGAAGTCCACCGCCTTCCTGAAAGACAACCGAGCGAAGGTTGTAGCCGCTGACCACAACAGAGGAGAGGAGCACCTCAACGGAATGAGCATAAGAGTGCCAATTAGCAGCAGAGTTGTCAGGCAGCAACTCGAGTGCGTCAACAGTGGCAAGGTCGACGGAAGAATCGGACGACGATGCCATAGAGATGAGGGTGGGTAGAGGCTAGGGCAGGAGGAGGATGGTGCGAGGGTACCGTTGCCAATGCTGCTGCTGGCCCTGCTGCCCGTGCCGCTGCTGGTTCTGCAGCTGGTGCCGCTGCGGATGCTGCTGCGGGTAGGATGGGAGGAGGAAGGGAGGAGCGGAGGGTGGGGAAGGTGGAGGAAGAGGAGGGCGATGCTATGGGGGATGCACGGGGGAAGGGTGCTGCTGGTGGTGCCGCTGCAGGTGCTGCTGCTGGTGCTGCTGCAGGTAGGATGGGAGGAGGAAGGGAGGAGCGGAGGGTGGGTTGGGTGGAGGAGGAGGAGGGCGATGCTATGGGGGAGGAAAGGGGGGAGGGTGCTGCTGGTGGTGCTGCTGCGGGTACAATGGGAGGAGGAAGGGAGAGAGGGGGGGGGGAGGGGACGAAGAGGGCAGCCGTGCGGCAGATCCGCGCGACTGGGAAGCCCGTGGCGAATGCACACGGGACAGCCCGCGGCAAACGAGCGGGACGTGCAGAGATGGGCGCGAAATGGTCAGATTTCAGCGCGGGAGATGCAGATCTGGTCGCGCGGAGGGCAGATCTGGTCGTGTGGAGGGCAGATCTGGTCGCGCGGAGGGCAGATCTGGTCGCGCGGGGTGCAGATCTGGTTGCGCGGAGTGCAGATCTGGGCGGAGGGCAGATCTGGGCGCGCGAAGTGCAGATGTGGTCGCGCGGAGTGCAGATCTGGTCGCGCGGAGTGCAGATCTGGTCGCGCGGAGTGCAGATCTGGGCGCGCGGAGGGCAGATCTGGGCGCGCGAAGTGCAGATGTGGTCGCGCGGAGTGCAGATCTGGTCGCGCGGAGTGCAGATCTGGTCGCGCGGAGTGCAGATCTGGTCGCGCGGAGTGCAGATCTGGTCACGCGGAGTGCAGATCTGGTCGCGCGGAGTGCAGATCTGGTCGCGCGGAGGGCAGATCTGAGCGCGCAGAGGGCGGATCTGGGCGGGCGGAGTGCAGATCTGGGCGCGCGGAGTGCAGATCTGGGTGCGAAATGTTCAGATCTGGGCGCGGAATGATCAGATCTAGGCGCGGGAGGAGTAGATCTGGTCGCAGGGAGTGCAGATCTGGGCGCTGGAGTTGCAGATCTGGACGTGCCTTGGAGGGCAGCGCCTTAGGGGGCGCACGGGCAGGGAGGACAGCGCCTAAAGGGCGCGTGAAGGGAGGGCAGCTCCGTGGGTGGGGCTAGATCTGAGGAACGGGGAGGAGAGGGTGGCCTAAGGACCGAGGGAGGTAGGCGTGAGCCATTAGCTCATGATACCATGTTAGAAGAGAGAGAATTGATACATTGAATAATGAGCCAAGAGGCTCTTTAGTACAAACAATGAGCAAGAGAGAGATGAGAGGGAAGCTTACCCTATTGGCCAATACGTTGGCCAATGGGTGAGCTTGCTTGTGACCCAAGCAACCACAAATGTGTGTTGGTTGGGATTGGTTGAGCTAAGGACCAATCCCAACCAACCACAAAATGTGGTTGGAAGGTACACTAAGCAACCCCCCAATTTATAAATGTGCTACACTTCTAGCCTATGTATGTTGTATGAAATATGAAATTACAACAGTGCAATGACAAGAGGCGAGCGTGCAGAGGTGATGCAGTGGAGGGGCAGTGGAGGGGCAGTGGAGGGGGCGATTGGCATGCGGGGTGGCCCCAGCAGCGGCTGCCTGTGCACGCTAACGCCTCCTTGCCTTGACGGCCCTCTGTGGCAGCCTCCATGCCCCTTGCTTGCTCTTTTAGGCTCCCTTACCCTTTCTTCCTCCCATCGCGATCCACCTTATCACGCCCACTGTGACCCATCTTCTTCTACAGCACACAAACTACCACCAATTCCCATCAGTTACAACCGCCATCACACGCGCGAGGTGCAAGCTGCAGCAACCGCTCCACGGCACCCTGCTGTGATCACCCGCATCCCCTGCCATACCTGGTGCGTCGCTGCAGCACCTGCTGCAGCTGCTGCTGAGCCTGCCGCCCCACGTCCTCTAGCTTGCTCTGCAGGGAGGACGGGGGGTGTAGGCGTGGCAGGGCAGCAGAAGCATGGAGGAGTGTGCCGGGCAGTGAAAGAAGCACTCTTTAAGTTTTTGCGAAAGAGGAAACACATCGTCAATTTTCACGTAAAGTAGGCTGGCAGAGTGATGCATGGGTGCTCATTGCAGGAAAGCACAGGTGCTTGATCTCACGGCAGTGCAGCAAGGAGAGTGGCAAGGAGAGTGGCAAGGAGAGTGGCAAGGAGAGTGGCAAGGAGAGTGGCAAGGAGAGTGGCATGGGATGTGGCACCTGCAGGGCGGCGGCGGTCTCGAGGGCGACGGCAGGTGTGGCCTGCTGACCAGCGCGCAGGAAGTGCAGCACTCGGTCTATGCTGCGCCGCCACAGCTGTGGAGGCATTTGGGGAGGGGGGAGGGGGGAGGAGCAAGAGGGATTTAGAGGAACGACATCGCGAGGGGATTTGAAGAGAACATGGTAGGGAGTAAGGAGATTCAATAAGCATGGCTTGCAGGGAAATCAGAAGGCGGGGGATGAGCAATGAGGGAAGAGGGAGGATTGGGGCGGGCACCATGACGTGGCAGGGCGAGAGGGCAGCGATGAGCATCCAGTCGAGGTGCTCTTCGATGGGGTGCTGCACGAACGATGCTGTCAGTGCCGCCTCCTTGCCCTCCCTGCTCACACTCTGCTCCCATGCACGCTCTCGCTCACACACGCATGCACACACACACATGCACACACACACACACACACACACACACACACACACACACACACACACACACACACACACACACCAGGACATGCCAGAAGCAACAGAACAATCACTGAGAGCATAGCACATGGCGCATGTCAAAAGCAATGCATGCATAGATGGCAGAACAGAACGTCAGAATCTTGGATAAGAAGCAGCCAAAATGCCACCTCAACCTCATCCCAGCAACTCCTCCCCCCTCAGCATGCCGCACCTCAATGAGGGTGCCTTCGGGCACGGCGAGGTCGTAAAGGCGCAGGCTGACGTCAGCCTTGAGCATGAGAGGGTACAGGCGCAGCGCCACGTGCAGGTGGTGGCACGACCCACACACCACGTCCACGCCCGCCCCCCCGTCCACGAGGCGCGCGCGGAAGCAGTCCATGCCCACCTGCACCACCATCTGCACCGCCCCCGCCGCCGCCTGCCCCGGCTCGTACTGCGCCTCCTCCCCCGCGCGCACCAGCTCCTCTATCTTCTCCCACTCCTCCGCACTCAGCCCCCCCGCCTCCCCCTCCTCCTCCGCCCCCTCGTCCCCCCTTGACTCCGCTGGCACAGACGCCCCTCGCCTGCCATGCCCCCAACACGCGCATCACGATGGGGAAGGGGAGAGAGGGGTAGGTTGGGGTGGCACACGGACAGCAAGGGCGAGGCGTGGGTCGGACAAGGGCAGGGTTCAAGGAAGCAGGCAGCAGGCAACAAGCAGAAAGCAGAAAGCAGCAGAGAGCGACAGCAAGCCACAGCACCTAGAATCCCTGCCTGTCACCCCGCGGGTCATGGTATCCCCCCGTCTCACCAGGAGGCGAACCACCCCTTGGCCTTGGGCTGCACTGCCTGCCGCTGCGCCTTGGGTCGGCTGCGCTCCGCCTGCGAGTGCGCCAGCATGCTGTGCCACATGTGGGGCATGGCCGGGGCACCGGGGGCACAGGGGGCAGAGAGGAGAACGGCAAGTGAGAGACAGAGAAGCGGCAGGTGACAGGGCAGCAGTCACAGCGTGACATGTAGGGTGCACACAGCCCTGACACACCAGCCATCCTCTGCCACTCAATCTCCCTCCGTTATTCTTCCCTAGCAACCCTCCAATGGATGGGCCTCCATCCCCTCCCCCCCCCTCCCTGAGAGCTCACCGCCAGAGCAGGGCGACCTCCACGCTGACGTGCGCCTCGATGGACCGCATCTCAGCGCTGTCCGCCGCCGCACCCGGCTTCACAGGGCCGCCCGACGCCCACGCGTCCAGCAGCGCCTGGGTGTACGCCGCCACGTAGCGGCGCCGCATGTTGCAGCTGTCCTTGATGCCCTTCCATGTCATCGTTGGCCTGCATGCCACACCGCACATCGCATTAGTCAGTGTGTGCACGCCAAACCCAACAGCACCTGGCAATGGGACATGGCAGGCCACTGCCACGGCAGCATTCAGGCCAGCATCAGAGCGCACCTGAGGGCGTGGTGCTGCTGCAGCAGGGCGCGCGCAGCAAAGCGCCACCAGAGGGCGGCGTGGGAGCGCACGGGTAGGCGCGGGCGCAGGTGAGCCACGTCCACTCGGCGACGGTACAGCGCTGCCGCCTCCATGAACCGCATCCCGTCCTCGTACTGCGTCTGCTCCACCGGGAATGGGGGTGGGGGGAGGGGGAAGGTGTTAGGAGGAGGGAGGGGGTGGCACACGGAGGCAGATGAGCACGCGGTGTGCACTGTGCATGTGTAGGTGTGCATGTGTAGGTGTGCATGTGTGTCGAGACCCTGCAAATAACTGCACTGACCTGTGAGAGAGTGAGAGCCACCTGCCCCAGCTGCAGAGCGGCAGTCTGGAAGGGCACGTCGTCGCGCCGCCTCTCCTTCTTGCTGCGCCGCTCGTACCGCATCCTGCCGTCCACCGGGTGTAGCAGAAACTGCCGATTCGCCGCCCAGTCAGTGGCACCTGCACTGGGTGGCGCCTCCTCATGAATGCCCGCCTCAAACACCTGGCAGAGGGGGCAAGCAGCACCACACAGCACAGCAGTACATGGACGAGGGTGGTCTCACAGGGACGTTCAGCACTGAAACGAGCTCACTAGTCCCGCACACCCTTACCAAGGACATCCGCAGGGAGGGGGCATAGGGGGCAGGGAAGGCGGGCGGGCATACCTCGCTCCACTGTGCGCCCTGCATGGCATCCCACGCGGTGTGTGGATCCCACGGCCCGCTGTTGCTGTCGTGATACACCGCCAGGCGCTCCAGATGCACCGCCTGCCACCCGCACATGCATGCAAGCAAGGGTGGGGGGGAGGGGAGGTAAGGAGGGGTGTGGACGAAGTTAATAGCATGCCGTCACGCATAGAGTGGTGGTCAGCAGAGACACAGGATGAACCAGAGCGAGGCAGCAGAGCAAATGAAGCGTGGGACAGAGAGCAAAAGGAGCAATCACTGGCAGCAGAGCAAATGGCACATGGGAACGCACCTTGTAGAGGCTGTCCAGCGTGGGAACGCACCTTGTAGAGGCTGTCCAGCGTGGGAGCGCACCTTGTAGAGGCTGTCCAGCGTGGGAACGCACCTTGTAGAGGCTGTCGAGCGCCCCGCTGGTGACGAACGTCTCCACCCAGTTCTCATCCGTGGTCACCGCTGCCAGCCGCGCCAATGTCACCCCCGTGCAGAAGGGACGCCCTGACAGGCTGTGGTAGGGCGCAGGGACGGGAGGGGAGCAGGAAGGAACGCATGTGGGATGAAGAGAGTGAGGATGATAGCTGGCTTCATTAGCCATTGACGACAAGCAACCAAAGATTCAAAGAAACGTCATGCTGCTGCTATGGTGCTTATGTGCTGATCGTCTTGGTGTAGCAGGAAGAGAGGTCGTGGGGTGGTGGCATGGCATGGCATGGACGGACCTGCCGGGGTCCTCATAGCGGATGTGCACGTTGGTGAAGGAGATCTTGATGTTGCCCACTATGGTGGCGATCAGTGATGATATCCATGATGCCCCACTGCCCGCCTGCCACCACCCCCCATGCATGCCATGCCAAGGAGTTCCAGAACGAGTTAGATTGGGAGCAGGAGAGGCATTGCAAACCAGCTAAACAAGGCGCTGGCAGCCATAGAACCTCCAGCACTGCTGCTCCTCCGGCACTGCTGCCAATCCTGCTCTCTCTCTCCCTCCCGTGATTTTTCTCTCTCCCTCCCGTGATTTTTCTCTCTCCCTCCCGTGATTTTTCTCTCTCCCTCCCGTGATTTTTCTCTCTCCCTCCCATGATTTTTCTCTCTCCCTCCCGTGATTTTTCGCTCTCCCTCCCGTGATTTTCCACTCCTTGTCTCTTCTCCTCCTCGACTGCTCACTCTCCTGTCACTCTCCTCTCATCATCCCCCACCTGCTCGTCGCCTCCTGCCTTCTGTCGCTCCCTGGCTTCCAGCATTGCCACCTCCGCTTCCTGCACGTGGCAGCACAATAGTGGATGCACGTGGCAGCACAATAGGGGCGGTTGGATGCACGTGGCAGCACAATAGGGGCGGTTTGATGCACGTGGCAGCACAATAGGGGCAGTTTGATGCACGTGGCAGCACAATAGGGGCGGTTTGATGCACGTGGCAGCACAATAGGGGCGGTTTGATGCACGTGGCAGCACAATAGGGGCAGTTTGATGCACGTGGCAGCACAATAGGGACGGTTTGATGCACGTGGCAGCACAATAGGGGCGGTTTGATGCACGTGGCAGCACAATAGGGGCGGTTTGATGCACGTGGCAGCACAATAGGGGCGGTTTGATGCACGTGGCAGCACAATAGGGGCCGTTTGATGCACGTGGCAGCACAAGAGGGGCGGTTTGATGCACATGGCAGCACAAGAGGGGTGGTTGGATGCACGTGGCACACTATGCGCACAGCACCACGGGTACAGTGGTGACACGTGGCGTACCTCTATTCTGCGCCTCTTTGCCTCCAGGCGTTGCTCCTCCTCCTCCTCCGCTGACTGCACCCCAACCACGACACCACCCCCCCACAGCCCAACCCAGCAGAAGAAAGGAGCATCAGATGGACGGCAAGTGCAATGCCGAGGACCCTTGGTCACAGGGGGGCAACAACTCCAGCACAGGGTTTAGGGTAGTAAGGACGAAACACAACGAGCACAAGAAGTGGGCCTATGAATAGGTGTGGGGCAAGTGGAAGAAAGATGGTGGAAATAGAGATTGGAGGCATGGTGGAGTGGGGAGGAGGTGGAGGCAGCGGGGGAACAGGAGGGGCGGAACCTGATGGGAGGAGGAGGCGGGGGCGGAGGAGGGGTGGGCGAGGATGAAGACTCGGTCCAGCAGCAGCACCACCGGCTCCACTCCCAGGCGACTCCATGGCACCTGCACCACATGGCACCGCACCGCACACCACAGCACACCACGGTTATGGTGCAAGCGAATGAGGGCATATGATGGCACACTATGAACCACACACCACAGTGCTGTTTTCCAGAGCCCTGCACAGCACTCCTCACCTCCTTGCAGCGCACTGCCACTGTGCACCGAACGACCCTTGAGACGTCATACAGGCACAGCCCATTCAAAATAAATTCAACAAAATCAAACATGATGTGTGTTCACCATGTGGCAGATTACGTCATATTACGGAACATTGTCGCAAACCATGACACAATGTTAACGAATTATGAGACACAATGTCCATGCTACGGCATTCAACAGCACAGTACGGCACAAATTGCACAGTACGAGCACATTTTGGCATGTTATGGCACACTACAGCACACTACAGCACACTACAGCACACTGGTGCACATTCAGGGAGCACACTTTGACAAGAAGGCAGATGAAGACACGCTTTGGAACATAACAGCACATATGAGCGCGGTCCGTGATATTCATGGCACACCATGGCCTTTCATGGCACATTATGCCACACCATGGCCTTTTATGGCACATTATGACACACTAGAGCAGACTATGGCACATTTGAGGCACATTATGTACCATCATGTATGCAATATGCAACCATTACAGCACATTAGGGCACACTGCAACACAACAACGCACATTACGGCACACTGCAACACAACAACGCACATTACGGCACACTGCAACACAACAACGCACATTACGGCACACTGCAACACAACAACGCACATTACGGCACACTGCAACACAACAACGCACATTACGGCACACTGCAACACAACAACGCACATTACGGCACACTGCAACACAACAACGCACATTACGGCACACTGCAACACAACAACGCACATTACGGCACGCTGCAACACAACAACGCACATTACGGCACGCTGCAACACAACAACGCACATTACGGCACGCTGCAACACAACAACGCACATTACGGCACACTGCAACACAACAACGCACATTACGCCACGCTGCAACACAACAACGCACATTACGGCACACTGCAACACAACAACGCACATTACGGCACACTGCAACACAACAACGCACATTACGGCACACTGCAACACAACAACGCACATTACGGCACACTGCAACACAACAACGCACATTACGGCACACTGCAACACAACAACGCACATTACGGCACACTGCAACACAACAACGCACATTACGGCACACTGCAACACAACAACGCACATTACGGCACACTGCAACACAACAACGCACATTACGGCACACTGCAACACAACAACGCACATTACGGCACACTGCAACACAACAACGCACATTACGGCACACTGCAACACAACAACGCACATTACGGCACACTGCAACACAACAACGCACATTACGGCACACTGCAACACAACAACGCACATTACGGCACACTGCAACACAACAACGCACATTACGGCACACTGCAACACAACAACGCACATTACGGCACACTGCAACACAACAACGCACATTACGGCACACTGCAACACAACAACGCACATTACGGCACACTGCAACACAACAACGCACATTACGGCACACTGCAACACAACAACGCACATTACGGCACACTGCAACACAACAACGCACATTACGGCACACTGCAACACAACAACGCACATTACGGCACACTGCAACACAACAACGCACATTACGGCACACTGCAACACAACAACGCACATTACGGCACACTGCAACACAACAACGCACATTACGGCACACTGCAACACAACAACGCACATTACGGCACACTGCAACACAACAACGCACATTACGGCACACTGCAACACAACAACGCACATTACGGCACACTGCAACACAACAACGCACATTACGGCACACTGCAACACAACAACGCACATTACGGCACACTGCAACACAACAACGCACATTACGGCACACTGCAACACAACCATCTGCGCATTGAGTGAACGTTGCAACACGTGATGACACATTACAGCAGGACACACTACGAAATGTTATGGCATATCGCGGCAGGCAGGGTATGACACATAACAGCACACTACCGCACACTGCAGCAAAATCATGGCACAACAGCAGCATGCTATGCGAACATTACGGCCCATTGCAGCACATTATGGCACAATATAACACATTGCGGCACATTTCTCGCCCATCATGAGACCATTGAGACACATGATGCCACATTAGGGGCACATCATGCACACACTAAGCGACCCGTTCAGCACATTCAGGCACATTATGGCACTTGATGTGCTCGATGTGCTCGTTAGGGAACAGCACGCCATGTCAGCAACGGCCAGAGATCCTGCCAGCACGTCGCTGAAATAAGGTGACGACTGAGGGGACGTGAGAGGACGATAGGGTCAATCGGACCAGTTCAAATATTACACATAAAAAAGGGAGAAGCACAAATACTAGAGCCGCATGCATGCGAGCAGTGTGAGCAGCGGGGGAGGAGCAGTGGAGACCTTGAGGTTGACTGATCCGATGAAGCCGGCCTTGACTGCGATGGGCAGGCGCAGGCGGTTGAGCGCCTCCTCCTTCAGCTGCAGATCCCTCAGCACCACGTCGCCTGGTGGGGGCGCACGCATGACGCACGCAGCAACATGAATAGGCACGAGGACGTTAGCAGAAACAGAAGGATGCAGCGGCACAGCAACGTGAACAGGCAGAGAAGGATGAAGAGACACGGTTATGCACAGTAATATGCACCAGCAGTAACGGTGGGCCACAAAAAACGGCAAGGATCAACTGGCACGACAGTGTGTGACAGTGGAGGAGAGAGGAATGAGGTGGAAAGGGTGAGGATGAGGGGACGGGAAGGGGGAGAGGGGGAGGTGGGGGTGAGGAGGGGAAAGGAGGGAGGAGGGGAGGGGGAGGGAAGGGGAGGGGAGTCTGACCTTGCCACACGCTGATCTTGAGCGCCTCGTCTGGGATGTTGCGGACATACTCGCCCAGATATTTGCGCAGCAGACCCAGCACCTGCGAAACAACTCAACCAGGCAACAAAGGACTTGTGGACTCCGGGCGATGATATGCATGATGGGCGCCACGTAACTCCATCATTCAATTGGATACTGGATTTGAGACTCTGCTAAGTGGAATTGAGACACTTATTTTCGACAATAAAATCCGAGTTACGTAACCCGCAGTCATCAAGCCCTCCTGATTAAGCGCTGGCGCAAGAAGCGAGCCATGTTTACGTCACGTGAAAGGGCGACCTCATTAAGCGGAGAAAAGGAGCCAGCAAATGGTAGGACTTACGTGAGCCTCAAACATGGTTAAAACCTTCTATCTACAGCCGCGAACTCCTTAGCTTGCTACTCCCACTATGCTCCTCCTAAATTCATCAGAAGGAACATCGCGACTGACTTTCTGAAATTTGACAGAGCTTCCCAAGAACTGGTTCAAGCAAGCAGCGGAGGTCTGGTAGAGGCTCTTTCGTGAATTGGTTACAGTTTGTTACGAGTGCAATTGAGTGAGCGAGCGAGAATGGCACTATCAAAGCAAGGGTACAATGAGCGAAGAACATATAGCTAAACTAGAGTGGTAACAGTAGTTTGTGAAAAGGTGGGGTGCGCGACGGGCCTAGTGCCGAGGTTGGGAATTGTCGAGGCGGAGGTTCGGAGCGCGGGCTACCAACCGAACCGTGAGGTTGGGTCGCGTCGTGAACAGTGGCGGGAACAGTGTCGAGACGAATGTCGCGAGTGGTAACGGTTTATTGCTAGGTGCTGTTGGCAGGAACAGTGGTGAATGTCAAACTATGATAATGCTTGTGCTGTGTAGGCTGTAGTGGGGTAGCCTGTAAGGGGTACAACCCAAATTAGGGTCAGCATATGTACCCACATCTCTGTTCAATGCATTCATTCCTGTTGCTAGATTCTAACATGGTTTCAGAACACTATGTCCGTGGGACCGTTTTTTTTTCGGGCCCACCTACCGTTGCGGTTACCACGCTACCCCACGTGCGCCTGCCTGCCTGCCTCGCCTTGTGACATGCTGCGCTGCGCGCGCCGTCCTACAGCCCTCGCGCTGCCTACTGCTGCCCTAGGCCAGCGCGCCGTCCCTGCAGGCCCGTACAACTCGCGAGCCGCCCCTGCAAGCCCGTCAGGCCTGCTAGCCGTCCCTGCAGGCCCGTCAGGCCCGCGAGCAGCCCCTGCAGGCCCGTCAGGCCAGAGCGCCGCCCCTGCAGGCCCGTCAGGCCTACTAGCCGCCCCTGCAGGCCCGTCAGGCCCGCTAGCCGCCCCTGCAGGCCCGTCGGGCCCGCAAGCCACCCCTGCAGGCCCGTCAGGCCCGCTAGCCGCCCCTGCAGGCCCGTCAGGCCAGCGAGCCGCCCCTGCAGGCCCGTCAGACCAGGTCGCTGCCCCACGCGACGCGCTCTTTGCCATCTGTTGCCTCTGTTGCTGCTGTCAACCTTGTTGGCACCGAGTCGGTCGGAGCTGCGTCTGCTCCTAGTGAGAGACGCCGCAGCGGCAAGGGCAAGGGGGGCAAGGGTGGTGGAGGGGACGGCGGGGGAGGCGGTGGTGGCGGAGGTGGTGGCGGTGGAGGTGGGGGTGGCGGCGGGAGTGGGGGCCTCGGTGGCGGTGGTGGAGGTGGAGGCGGCGGCGGCGGCAGCGGCAGTGGGGGTGGAGGCATCGGTGGTGCTGGTCGAGGTGGAGCTGTGCAGCGCGGAGGCTTTGGAGGTGGCCAGCATCAGCAGCAGCAGCGTTCTCGTGAAACCCCGTTACCCCAACAGCTTAATAAGTGGTACGTTGGGCGTGGGAGGCATGGGGGTGCTGGCCCCTGCGCTTACGTTCTCCGCACCGGTGAGCGTAGTGGGGAGACGTGCGGAATGCCGCACGCTGCGCACCGCTGCTTCGGCCGGCTGACGGACGCTTGGCGTGCACAGTTTCCTGACGCCACTGAGCTCCCTCGCTAGGGTGATCTGCTTAGGTCGGAGGTTGCTATCTTTGATCTTGATTATGATGCTATCCTTCCTGCTATGTATGCTATGACTATTAGTGCTGAGGGTGACTGTTACCTGTGTGTTCCGCCCGGCCCGTGCATTGAGGCTGCTGCTCTAGGTGCTAGTGAGTCTGCTGCTCCAGGTGTTGGTGAGGCCACTCTCTCAATTACCGCGTCGGCTCAGGTCTAGCACACTTTCACCATTGACTCAAGTTCTTCTCGTTCCTTCTTTCGCGACTGCACCACACTCACGTCGCTTCACCGGCCAGTGGCAGTCTCCCTGGCTGACCCCTCTGGGGGTCCGGTCCTTGCGCACTCCTCCACGGTTCTGCCATGTCTGGTGGTCCCGTCTGGCTCCCTGTCCGGTCTCCACCTCCCCTCGTTCTCCACAAACTTGGTGAGTGGAGCTGACCTTCAGGACGTGTGGGTTGACTAGTTCACTCCTGGAGGTCAGCGGGTGACCTACTGTACGTGTACACGGACTGGTCGGCACCTGGCCACGTTTACTCGTCAGCCTGGGTCGAGCCTGTACACCCTGACTACCGTGTCTCCTCCAGTTACTGCGTCTGGTCAGGTAGCTGCATCTGGTCAGGTGTTTGCTGCAGCGTCCCGGTCTGGTCCTAAGTCTGCCCCCTGCTCGTGTCGCCTCATGTCTCACCAGACTCTCCTCTGGCACCACCGCCTTGGTCACCCCTCCCTGCCTCGCCTCCGAGGCATGGCCTCCCGTGTCCTTGTCACTGGTCTTCCCCGGTCTCTCCCTCCCCTCCCCGGGGCCTGCCCCTACCTGCGTTCCTTGCGTTGAGTGGCGGCAGCGCGCCACTCCTCACTCCTCGGAGTTCCCTCCGACGGAGGCTCCCCTGCAGACTCTTCACATGGACATGTGGGGCCCAGCCCGCGTCTGTGGTCAGGGTCACGAGCGTTACTTTCTGGTGGTCGTTGACGACTACTCGCGCCACACCACAGTCTTCCCCTTGCGCCGCAAGGGTGAGGCGACTGTGGCTGATCGACTGGATCCGCGCTGCCCGTCGCCAACTCAGCGAGAGTTTCGGCTCGGACCTTCCTGTTCTGCGTCTACACTCAGACAGAGGTGGGGAGTTTTCCTCCGTCCTTCTGAGGGCCTTCTGTCATGCAGAGGGCATCCGCCAGACGTTCACGCTTCCGGCCTCTCCTCGGCAAAATGGGATTGCTGAGCGCCGCATTGGCATGGTTATGGACGTCGCTCGTACGTCCATGATTCATGCGGCTGCTCCCCATTTTCTGTGGCCGTTTATGGTTCAGTACGCTGCGCATCAGCTCAACCTCCAGCCCCGGGTCTCCATGCCGGAGACCACACCTACTCTGCAGTGGACAGGGAAGGTTGGTGATGCGTCTGCATTCCGTATCTGGGGATCTCGAGCTTTTGTCCGCGATTTGTCTGCGGACAAGCTGTCCTCCCGTGCTGTTCCCTGCGTCTTCCATGGCTTCCCCCCTGACGCGCCTGGTTGGCAGCTTTACCACTACACCTCGCACCGTGTTCTGTCCTCTCAGGATGTCACGTTTGACGCGTCGGTTCCTTACTACCGTCTCTTTCCCTACCGCACTCCCCCCCTCCCCCCCCCCCCCCCGCCGCTCTTCCTTGCGCCAGGTCCTCCTCCGGTAGACCCCCTTCCCCCTCAGGGTCCTGCCCCGTCAGGTGTGTCCCAGGTAGACGCAGTCGAGCCTGTCAAGGTAGCTGTTGACTCTGGTGCTGCTAGGGGTGGTGAGCCTGCAGGTGCCGAGTCTGGGGGTGCTGAGCCAGGGGGTGCTGAGTCTGGGGGTGCTGAGCCTGGGGGTACTGAGTCTGGAGGTGCTGAGCCTGGGGGTGCTGAGTCTGGGGGTGCTGAGCCTGGGGGTACTGAGTCTGGGGGTGCTGAGCCTGGAGGTGCTCAGCCTGAGGGTGCAGAGCGTGCGAGTACTGCGCCTGCGCGTGTGGAGCCTGGGAGTGGTGAGCCTGGGGGTGCTGAGCCTGGAGGTCCCTTGGGTGCCTTGTCCCGGCGCGAGCCACTCTCTCCACGGCAGCTGCGCGAGTGGTTTGCCCGGTGCTGGAGCCGTGCTGCTGGAACTAGTGGTGCTACTTGAGCTGAGGGTCCTGCTACCACTCGAGCTGCTGGGGGTTCTGGAGCCGCTGGTCCCGGAGGTGCTCGTACAAGAGGTACTGGAGCTGCTGGGCCTGGTGGTGCTGCTGGAGCTGGAGCTGCTGGAGGTGCTGGAACTGGAGCTGCTAAAAATGCTGGAGCTGGCAGTACTGCTGGAGCAGGTGCTTTTGGAGGTGCTGGAGTTGGCGCTACTGGAGCTACAAGGACTTTTCGTGGTCCTGCTGGAGCTAGGTCTGCTGGAGGTCCTGGAGTTGGCGCTGCTAGAGCTCCGGGAGGTGTTGTTGGGGCTGGTGGAGCTGCAGGAGTTGGAGCTGATGCTGGGGGTGCTGGTGCTGTCTTTGCTTGTTCTGGTGTTGCTGCACGGCCGCGGCTCTACTTTGTTCCACTCCTTCATTAGGTTCTTGGTCTCCCGCCTTCTACTAGTCTTGCTCCTCCCTTAGATTGTCCATCGTCGGTTCTGTCGCAGTCACAGTTACAGCCCGCCTCCCCACTGCCTGCTCCTTCTCCTTACACTGGTCCGACCGGAGGTCTTGCTGAGCGTCGTGAGCCTGCGTCTCGCCCTGCGTCACCTGTTCCCACTGCTTGCACTGGTCGTCGAGGTTCGCGTCAGCGTCCTCCTCCTGTCCCCGGCATGCCCAAGATCGCACTGCGTCCTTCTACTGCTCCACATCGTGTCCCTCTGCCGTCTCCTCCTGCGTCCTCCCTTCCTGTCGGTCCGGACCCAGAGTTGGACTCCCTTCGTGCTGCTAGTCCTACTGTCACGCGTCTCCTAGCCACTGTTGTCACTAACCATTCCTTTGAGTCTACTGCTGCGTCTGCTCTTGTTTCAGAGCTTGTCGACTTTGCTGCTCGCTGACTACGCCGCTAGCCTTGTTGCTGAGTCTGAGTCTGTTTGTCATCCGTCCGTTAGGGGTGAGTGTGCCCTTAACACGGACGTCCTTGAGGACAAGCAAGAGGAGTTCCAGTGTTTTGTTGCTGCTTTACCTCATCTCGAATCCATGCTGCTTGCACGTGAGGGAGACTCGGATGCACCAGACATCCCGACTCCGCGCTCTTACGAAGAGGCGATAGAGGGTTCCTACTCCTCTCAGTGGCAGA